CAAGAATAAGCAATGCAAAGATGTATAGAAATGAGGAAATTTGAAGTTGAAGTCATCTCGTTTGTCAACTTGCCATGTTCACAAAATTGTATTGTTTGTAGGCTTTGTCGAGATCGATCACTGTTCGTTATTTTCACCTTATTCATTGTCATATTATTTTATTGTTAGTTGACCCTTATCGTCTATAGTAAGTACTAAACTTCATAAATATTCTTACAAAAAATGATGCATCGCCGTGTCCAGCAAACGCTCTACAAAGCCCCTATCTTTACTCCCTAGAAAAATTCTGCTGTAAAAGAGAAACTGTGGTGCTACAACATATAATAGAAGTGGAGTAAATCAGATGTGGATCCTCAAAAACTTTAAAAAATCACAATTTTTTCACAAGTTAGTTAACATCACTTACGACTTTTCTACACTTTATATAACCATTCCTCCCGATAAATTAAAAAAAATTAGGCTTTTTGATATCATAGACAGACGCTTCTTCAATAAAAACGGAAATTTTCATATCTTGTGATTGGTCACCAATAAAAACACTTTGTTAAAAAATGACTCTAATCCTACACACAAGTAATCTAAAGATGATATAAATGGATGCTGCAGTTCCTCATTGACAATGTTAATATAGTATTTGGAGACCAGGCCTTCTAACAAACTGTTGGAATATTTCGATGTGCTCTTTTATTAGCCGAGTTGTTTTTATATTCCTATGAAGCACAATGTATTCAAAAACTTCTACGTGAGAAGTAGAAAACACATCCTGTTGCCTTCAACTCAACTTTCAAATACATCGACAACGTTTTATTTATTAACAATAGTTACTTCCATTTATACTCTATATATCCCTGTGAACTCGAAACAAAACATACCACAGAGTCTGTCAAGTGCATGTAATAAGTCTTGCCACTAAGACTGCATGTGTCACATTAGGAACCTTTTTATTTTTCTTTCAAAAATAAGGACGTTAAGTCAATTTAAGTCAAAATTTATCATGACCCCCTTAAAATCCCACCTATTGAAATTGTTCATCATTTATTTATATTTAACCTGATTTGTTCAATAAACAGCAATTATCACCTCATGGTTAGATTTATTGATCTGACTCAACAATCCTGTTTATATCCCAAATATTTACATTTTCAATGTCTTTGTCCGAGATAAAATTACAAATTGTAAAAATACTTTATTTCTACATAAATCTACTGGTTCATCGATAGGCGCGGTAATGAAAAAATCACGTGCGGGGCGGGACAAATAGAGACAGAAGCGGGGCTATTAGCACGGTAATTTGCAGAATCAGGAGCATGTAAATATAAGGAATAACTGTCAGATTTTTTGGATTCATGACGATGATCAATCGATTGGCTTGCGTGATAATTTTATGCATAAACGCCTTCGGCGTTTATGCAAATTATCACGCAAGCCACTCGATTGATCACATCATGAATCCAAAAAATTAGACAGTTATTCCTTAAATAAATCCGGCAAAATTGGCAAAACATCAAGTTAGCAGAATACTTTTTTTTTTTATTATTTTTATAAAGCTTACATAATTGTTGCATTATTAAATACAAATGTCTGCATTAAAGAAGTATAGAAGTGTGTTTGTGTCATGTGCAATCTGATCGCTCGACAAGGCTCGAGGATAAAAAAAATACAAAAATCATAATTATCCAACCACAAACCCTGGGAAATCTTAATGCATTTAAAAGAAAATATTAAGCGTTTACTTTATATTAATGTTTGAAACGGGACTCGGGTGATCGTTCATAAAAAGGTCTATAGACAGGACCAATTTAAGCATAAAGTGAATCTCGCTCTTTATAGTTAAAAATCCACAAATATGTAATCCGACACCTCAGACGTTTTAAGAGAATTTGCGTCACCTACAATATACGAGACAGTTGATCGATTAAATAGAATACCAGAACGACATACTTACAACAACGGGCTTCAGGGAAAAGCAAATTATCAGAAAGCTTAAAAAAATCTCATGTTTAAAAACTAGCACATTCTTACAAGCCTGTTAGGATCGATCTATGGGGAAAATATTAAAAGGCGTTAAGAGGCAAAGTGAAAAGACGTGATAATGCGGAAAAGGGCGTAATAAAGCGACGTGACATGGCGTTATACCGCCAAAAAAGGCGTGATAACGCGAAAAAAGCTTACGGCGTTGTACGCCTTTACAAGGGCGTTATATAATGCAAAGTAAAAAGGCTTAATTAAGCAAAGTAAAAGGCGTTATAACACGATAAAAAACTTTTTGGTAAAGCGTAATAATGTCTTTAAAAAAGTCTTTACTACGCGTTTTGAAAGGCGTTCATAAGGTGTTATTACACCTTTTGAAAAGGCGTGATATTGCGAAATAGAAAGTCTATATGAACTTTCTATCTATAACCTACACAGTTCTATTCTGGGGTATACACCCGAATTACGTCAATTTCATTTCTGTAAGGGAGTTAAGCACCCATTCAAATCAGGAAAACAGTTTGCTTGCTAATTAACATGAGTGAAGATTTCTCAAAAGTGTATTTTCAATTCACGACTAATTTAGCCCCATGCATAAGACTGAACCCTTTACCCCTAGGATACGAACTTCACAATTTTGTATAGGACTAACTGCTCACAAAATAATTTCAACAGTTTGTATCTGGATATCCAGGAGGAAATGTTTTTAAATATTTAATGTATTTTCAATGTTTTACCAACTTAGTCCTACAATCCAGACTCCCGTCTATACCCTTGCAAATAGTTTGTCTGCTTTTTTCCCAAGAGGAAAGAAAAAATATTTTCAAATGTGAAATAATTTTTTAGATATATTACCAGTTAAGCCCCACGCTGCATGCGCCTTAATTCTGGATTTTCACGAGTGTCGACCCCACTTAATACGCATGCAAACAGTTGTCTGCTGGATTTGTAGGAGTATAGAAAAATATTTTGAAATATTGCATGTATTAAGATGGCTTCAATCCAACCCTTCATATAATTATCATTTTTAGCTGTTTTCAAGAGTCGTAATAATGCCTTTTTAAGAGGCACTATAGCTTCTTTTTTAAAACATGTTATAACGCTTTTTGAAAAGGCTTTAGGGACCAAGCAAAATATATCACAATGATGGGACCGGTAAAAACAGGCATGGGACAATTAATTTTTTCATTGAAGAAAACCATGGGACAAAAACTTTTTTTAGTATTAAGTACCCATGGGACAAACACTTTTTAAAATGGGTTACAGTAATTAACTCAGGAGACACATTTATTATATTTAAACATATCCTATCTTTTCAAAAAAGTAAATTGTTCAGAAAATTCATAATATCTTTTAAAGTCAAAGGATGCAAAGTTGCAACATAAATCTTCAAATTAATGCTGCATGCAAAAATTAACAAAGTAACAAACAAAGTTAATAATAAGAGTTATATGAACAAATAAATCATTTCAACAAATCATTCAAAATATACTGCTAACAAATTCTAGAGTAACATCTCTAAAACAACGAAAATCAATCATGTATTTTAAACACGAATGGTCTCTCAAGTTTCATCCATTCAGAAAACTTTCATAGAATGATTTTGAATAAAATATATTTTAAACTAAACGTTCATCAATGTTTGAAATAATTGTAATCTGAAAGACTCATTCAGTTAATATATAAAAGTAATTGTTAAAATTGTGCTTTTTGGGTTTTTATGGTTGCAATAATCTCACGAATATCAAGATATAACCATGGGACAGTAACTTTTTTATAAGTCTAAAGGCATGGGACAAATATTTTTTTTTCAATATGGAAGCCATGGGACATGTAATTTTTTTAAATGAGAAATTTGTTTTGTACCGGTCCCATCATTGTGACAAATTTTGCCTGGTCCCTTACAACGCTTTTTAAAAGGGGTAAAATAATGCCATTTCACCGCATGTTTACACCTTTTCGCGTTATTACGCCTTTTTGCGTTATAACGCCTTTATTGGGGTTATAACGCCTTTTTACATCGCGTTATTACGCTTTTATTTTCTCCCCATAGACTGGTCCTATAAATAAGCTTTCGAAGATTCTCACCCTGTGTGTTCAGTTGATAAGAGAATTGTAGGTTATTTAAAGAACTTCTGATATGAAAATTACTGTGCTTGAGCTTGCCAATGAATTTATTCCTTGTGATTAGTATTAAATATATATATTCATAGCAAGAATCATCAGACATTATGAATATTGAGTAGTTATAGATTTTGAAATCAGGAAATATCATTTTCTCCTTGATATTTAACGTATTAGAGATATCGATAACGCCAATTGATATACTCTTCATTCAAGTGTATTTTTCCATCGAAGGGCATGGTTACTTACATCTCGAATTATTTGATTTTTAATTAGTACAAAAATGATTTACACTCTCAATTTTTTTTTATTGCAGAAAACGTATAAAAATTCCCTACCCTACCAAGTTTCCATTGCAATTTTAGCAATATCTCACCGTTATATATAAATTTTTACTTACATATACTCTTAGTGCTTATCTACATATAATCTAACGGAAACCCTCGACAGCAGCATTGTTTAATGGTCCTTTCTCGACCGCTTCTGTCTGTTAAGTACACATGGCTTTGAAGGGACGGGCATTTGGTATCATTATACTTAACTTGAAAGCCACTGATCAATGACTCAAGTTATAAATGCAATACTAGTACATGTATAATCCTGATTTATAAGGAAAGTAAATACATGTTTAATAACGAAAAAAAGGTGTAAACTTTCTGTCAAATTGAAATAATGATAATTCTTTGAATGCCGCTCAGAAGAAATCGTGAATTCGAGTAATTCAGAAGCAATAACTGTTCCCTTTCCTCTAAAAAAAAAAATTACATAAATAACACAAATAATCGCAGCCTGCGAAAAAAAATCCAGAATACACAATGGATGTACACATCTGCAAATCTTTACGGTTAAGAGACTGACATGTCAATAAATTATCAAGCAGATATGCTGAGTGTACAAAAATTGAAAAATTCAAGTAAATATGTTATATTTTTCTCTTCGGTAATTTGAAAATTTTCACAATATTCTTCTCGCCCTTGGGCAAGGTCAAGTGATGCTGAGTAACGAGTAGTCGGTCCCCACCGGGGCTGACACACAACTTATGAGGATTGTTGACACCGTCAATTACTATGGCTCCAATTATTTCCCCTTCAGTGGACATTTCAAGAATATTGTGTGAGCGATTTCCTGCGACAAAAACACGTGTTCCATGAACAGCGACTCCTCGTGCCCCTTTCAAGTGGTGGTATCGAACCTCCCATCGCTTCTCCCCTTTGGTTGTCAGGGATATCACAGATTTCTTATACTTGTCAGTTACATAGAGGTTCTTTCCTTCCTTGTCGACTGTGACGTAATCGGGGAAGAAAAACAGATCCTGCCCAAACTGATCTTGCTTGAAAACATGAAGTTCGCGTCCATCGCGCGTCATGATCTTTACGGACGGAGGGGAAGTGTAGCATGAAATGGCAAATAAATCTTGAGTACATCCAATGCCAAAACATTTTGCTCCAGTTTGAAAACCCCCAGTTAGAGAAATATCGGAATCTCTTACGGAAAATAGTAAAACTCTCTTTTCTTTTGGTAGAGTGACAGCAACTTCAGTTCCACTGCAACTAGCAACATCGTAAGGTCTGACTGATAATACTTTCTCAGCTATCCATTTGTACTGATGATCAAAGAGCTTAAGTTTTCTGTGAACTTGGTCAACAAGAATAATTCGACCATTTCCAATAAATACTGCCCCGGTGAGGGAACAGTTTTCTCGGTCATTCGGTGTTTGTCCACGGAATGTGCTGTCGAGAGTAGCTATTCGGACAGTAGAGGATCTCTGTTTCCTAGCGCTACGATATGTACTTAATTTCTGTGGCGTGGAGGATACCGGGGTATTCACGATTGGTGGAAGAACAAGGTTCTTGAAATCCCTCAGATCCTGAATGACGGTCTCTTTCTGTCTTTGGTAATCCTCTTTTTCAATCGTAGGGCGACGTTCGTGTTCGACATCTTCCTTGACTTCGGTCATCAGAATTGTGTCCGCTCGAACCGCGTACGATGGCGGAATAAGAATGCTTTGTCGGGCCACAGCAAAACTTCCCAGCTCCTTTAACTGTTGCAGAACAGTTGGTAAATTTTTGTCTGGTTTAAAATCGACATAGACGTCCTTAAGTTGGTTCGAAATGTTCTTCAATGTTTTCTCGCTAATGCGTGTTTCCTTCTTTATTTGCGCAATGCAGGATAGCAGGTCGGTATCCGTACCATGTTTAAGGGCGTTTTTCAGAAGTGCTGCAGAATTTCGTGTTGTGCTAATGATGCCTTTACATGTCTCTTTCTCTGTCTCTAAAATTTCCATTTCTATCCTTTTCAGGTCTTCAAGTTCTTCTATGATGCGGTTTTCTTGAGCATCTAGTACGTCGTTTATTTGTTTTCTAATATTTGCTATTTGGTTCCTCACGTGTTTGGCTGCATCTTCAAGCGATTCAACACAGTGCTTGCGATTGTCCATGATTCGGACTGACCAATCCGTCTGATGCTTCAAATTCTCTATCAAGGCACGACTCTCGTCTTTATGTTCAGCTGCTGCCTCGTTACACGTCTTGACGCTCGAACATTGTCTGTGGTTGACTGTCACACAGGTGGCACAAAGAATGGTCCCATGGTCATCGCAATAGAAATCAAGAAATTTCCCATTGTGATCTGGACAGACTGCATGTATTGTGGTGCTCTTGAAGGGATGTTGTTTTATGTTTTCAATCTCAACTACTTGATGGGACTGTGTAAACTTCATGCTACCATGGACTTCATGACATTCATGGCATAAAGCCTCACTGCAATCATCACACCAGAAATTAGCGAGTACCTTCCGGTTTCGATGTAGACAAGTATCACATCTTCTGTCTTCTGCGCGCAGTTTTGCGGCATCCAATAATCCATTGATAAAATTATTGACAGGCAAGACATTTGCCCAAGACTCAACCGGAACATGAATCGGTCCATCGATAACACGTTTGCAGACGGGACAGCTAAATGATTTGGGTGGGCGTTGGTCATGCGTACTCTGGAGAATATGTTCAGAGATACAGTCATGGCAGAAAGAATGAAGGCAAGAAAGCGTGCGAGGATCACTAAAATCTTCGGAGCATATCGGACATATGAGGAACTCTTCTGCAATATCACTTAGATCAGCGATGCTGCCAGCCAGACTTCTGTGGGTTAGACGATAGGTCATCTGTAAGGGAGGTCAAAATGTTTTGTAGTGTATTTTTAATTTCAGAACAATAACTAGAATGTACCCTATCGTATTTATTTTGCTATAATTGAAGTTAAGCAGAACTGTACCATCAAGTTCATTATAGCGCAAGCATGTCGAGTTGTACACTGATATATTTTTTTTGGATGAAACAACATAGACAATATTATTACATGAGTATATCACCACAAAAAACCACTATGATTACATGTACAGCAATACAACTTCGCTGTTTCCTTCCTGATTAAATAACTAAGGTATCTAAATTATATGGGTAGTATTTACTTTGAAAGTACAAAAAATATTAAATCATAAACATTTCAAATATCTTACCTTATTCACCGTTGATATTAAACAAATTAAACATTATTTGTTAGGGACTTGTCATGAGAATCGTCATGGTGAAACTGGGCACCAAAGACCACATACATGGTTCTACTAAATAATGGACAATAGAGTCACTTATCTGAAACATTGTTTCTCACAAAAGAACGTTTCGAATTGTCTTCATTTAAACCTTTTTGTTTATAAAGACAAAGGAAATTTTCAATGTAGCTTTAAAATTTGCCCTTCTTTTTAAATGAACACATAATTGACAATGGCTGAATATTTATTAATCACTTTCGCATTTTTTTAAGATGAATGTCCGTAAATCATGAGCATCAAATAAACTAAATTATTATGTCCAGATATACACTACTAGAAAAAGATGTAAACAAAGAATTTGTGAATGTTGAGTATCGAAAGACCTCAAATTTACTTGCCTGTCATGTGATTTTGTATATATCTAAATGCTAGCTTATGGACCAGCTCCCTTTTAAAAAAATAAATATATGATCATGAAAAGAAAACAAACTTCCAAATCCAAGATGAAATTTAAATAAGGTCTCTGAAAATCGGAGGCAAGTTTGAAGATTTTAGAAATATCACAATAAAACTGAAATAGTAAAAAAAGAAAAAGACTGTTATCAAGTTTTTTTTAACGGAAAACAAATTATTATCTCATTTGATCTTCATTAAACTTGCATAATGTAGAGGTCCGTGGCTCTCCATTGGACAGTGTGTAAATATAAACAAAATATGGAAAAAAGTGTAATCAATTCCAAATCCTTAATCCCACATAATTGTAAAATTGTTAAAATATACCCTTTATGGATCACCCGAGAATTATAATAACATATTGTAAAATGAACGGACACAAAAAGATAAAAGTTAAGTTTTAAATTTTATGCTGCTAGTACTAGTAACTTTACAAACGTTTTACTTCCTCGATCTACACATGCTTCCTGGTTTGATATAATTGATCAAAGATTAGGGACCTTGCACCACGATTTATCATATACTGCACTAAGCATCATGATATACAAATATACAATAAAAATGATCAACGACACGAACAATACTAGTAGTCGGGACGCCCTGTCCCTTCCTCGAGTTAAAGATTAGAGGGTCATCAAAACAAAAGAAATACATGTAGAAAAACAAGAACAAGTAGCACTACAACTAAACTACTTAACCATATATGTTTACAATTTTACATGTTTCATTTTAAAGTTGAAAACCATTTGATTTGAAATAATTCCGGACTTCAAACTCGTTCCAGCCTGCATGTCTGATGTACTCATGTGAAGTGCAATTTACGTAGTTGAACAAATTAATTATCGCTAATTAATTTTGAAAATGTTAGTATATAATACAATGTCGTATTCTTAAAATAGCGTAACTATAAATGATGAGAAAAAAAAAAACAATTTGAAAAGATTATAAAGCGTTAAAAAAGGGGATTTGGATCTCTTTATTAATTGTGAAATATAATCGGATAATACGAATACTAAACAATTATGTAAGCAATAATTACAAATTCTAGGACTATCTGAAAATTGAAGTAAAGTTTACACTACTGAGAGAGAATAGTTTTGTTTGTCAAAATCAGGAATTGGGCCTAGTTTACGTTCATCCTGGTGAAGTCATTTAGTTTGTTACATGTAATACCATTAGGGCGGACTTCCGCTTGTGCATTCAGAATTTCTCTGAGCTGCCAATCTTTGGTTATGGTCAATAACCTCCATGTCACCTCTACTGGAAATCTCCCGTTTCCCCATTACATACTGCTTTTGACAAACTTTGCAGCTGAAGAGATATACATAATTGTCAGGACAGGACAGATTCCCTTGTATTCTGTTGCTGCGGCCTGTAACTGGCCTGTGTCAGAGCTGTGCTTACTGAGAAGACATCTTCTGCCAGAGTCCCCATGCCTCGAGCACCTGTAGGCAGCCATTGGAGGTTCCTTAAGACCTCTACCATTCTTTTGTTGGCATATAGAATTGGCAGGTTCTTTTTAATAATATCGTTGAGATTCTTAAAGATGGTCTGTGGTTACCAGTGGAACCCCGGTGATATTGTCTTTCTCTTTGTAGAGTAAAAACGTTTGTCTATCGTGTCCTGCCATCTCATCAACAGATGTTTCTACGGTGTGGGCTTTTAAGCCTGTCTTTCATATATGGGATTCAGGGGGATCTCTTCCTGCATGATACAAAGCACAGGATGAAGAGATGCGGCGAATTCTGGTGGCTAGAACCTTAGGCTCACCCTTGATATTAACATTTGATATAATGATATCATTAATTGATGCAAAGCCATCTCCATTTATGCTACATAATCCCATTAACAGTCTTTGTTTGACTGCAATATGTCAAGGAGGATCGAGTGTGTGAAGTTTCTATTTTCACTCAGTCTTCCGCTTTACTGCTTTTTCTTCTATTTACCTCTTCTCAGATATAATCTACAGTTACCATTGAATCATAACTGTCCCCTTAATTCTCAAAAGGCTACTTTCTAGATGACGTTACTCAACTTCAAGTTACAAGTAGTTTGATTTTGATAGACACTTTAGAAAAATTCACCAGCATTACGCAATTGATTGGTGAACTTTGAGATTCTAAAATGAACAGAAATGTCGCCACAAGGGGAACTATAAATGGAGAAGTGGGTGAAATAATCCCGAATTAGCGGTGGATAAACAGTGTAGTGTATACAGCCATGAAGCTCTAGATAGTGTCAGTCTGTGTATTTAAATGCTGAAATCGTGTCCTATATCACCTCAGTTTTGAACTCTGTTAATTTTATTTAACTTCCTTGTGTTTTGTTACTTGACAGTTGGTCGTTGTATGGGTCTAGTGCAACCACGATGATGAGAACGAGATATAAAGATTCATTCTGGGTGAGTCAGTTTTAATACTGTTTTGTACACATGTTGTTTGAAGATAAATAACAACATTCATCAAGGCAATGTTCAAGCTCTTCGGGCTTTTTATGTAGCATTTCATGCAATGTATGCAAACTAACAGTAAACATTGGTAAACAAGTGATCGAATAAACACTATGCAATAATCAATATTGACAGTAAGTTAAAAAAAATTATCCAAAGCAGCATATTTTTTTCTTTAATTCAGAAAATGCTTGTCTTCTATTTTTATGTACTCTTTATTTAAAGGTAAGTATCTTAGCACGATAAAAATGTACGATAAAATCACATCTAACTAAGAATGTGAGATTAATCAAAATGACATAGAATTGTAAACAAAGAGACTTGTCCCTTTTTGCCAAATAGTGTATTCATGATATGTCAATGTATGATGGTGTTGTCAATAAATGAAATGTTAAATAACACTAGTTTAATGATTGCATACTAACTTTCAATGCGAATTGAACAAAATGAACGTCAATAATGATAAAATTGATATTGGACAGCTTATAAACATGTAGTAATTTTGGGTATCTCGGTTAATAGGACACTGACATTAACAGTACAAGTGGATATGATGAACTGAAGAATCGAATGAAGGATGGGAAAAAACTGTCCAACGAAGTGGAAAACTATTTTAAACAGAGGTTAGAAGCTATCAGATGACAGGTTTAGAGGCTCTCTGGTTACATTTGGTTCGACAGCTCAGTATAACACAATCCACCCGTCAGCGATCTTGTGTAAAGTCGTTTAGGATGGAGAAAATTACCTTTTAAAACCCCCGTCTTCCACATAAATCAACATGCATGACTGAAAATATATATATATATATATATATATATATATATATATATATATATATATATATATATATATATATATATATATATATATATATAAATGTATATTATTGAATAATTATATCATATGGCAATTATGTTAGGCTTATTATAGTTTTAGTATCTGGTATTAAGGTGTTAATACTCGGGTTGCAATTGCATATTAGGTCATTTTTTTCTTGTCATAGCTAGTCTTTTATTTAAAATAAAAACTTTAAAAAGATCATATATTGAATTAATTTTCATGCCGGAAATATTTTATAAGCATCTTTCAGACTTTGAGAGTACTGAAAATTTCACAATTAAATTAAAATAAATTATACTGGCAGCAAAAACATTATTCTCATCGCCTAAGTGCATCCTCGTGACCTTTTTAAAAATATTTCAATGTACATATATTAACGAGACCTTTGTAGTCGTTTTGAAAATGTTCATTATAATCATTGTGATAATATTTTAATAAGAAATCAATAGGCTGAACATATGCTTTTGACTAGCTTCTATTTTCAAGGAGAGTAACCCGCTGTTCAAAATAATGACTTTTTGATAGTTTTTTTTTTTTTTTTTATAAAGACTGGAAAATGTACATGTATATCATTTCAAAATATTATAATTATTATTATAAAACCTAATTTTCTCCAGAGCCAAGATCGAAAAAGATTACTCCAAAGACTTACAGAAGCTCGTAGACAACTGCAAACTGAAGGTGGAACTAGGGTAAGAATACTGCAAAATGGAAAAATGCCTGGGAAAAGTATAAGGAAAGTAGTTTTTGTGTGAAGTCTGAGAGAAGTTTTAGAAATGGTCAAGAGCAGTCGAATAGATATTGTTCCTGAATCACAAAGACGAACATGTAATAAACACGATCATTATTGGTAAAGTAAGACACATTAAAAACAAGAAGTACCAAAAATTGGTGTTCTACAATTTATAGTAATAAAACTCCGTTTGCGTACGACTATAGTCGTGCACTTATTTCAATTTTCAAATGAAAGTCAGTAAATGCACCGCATAACAGGAATTTGGTAAAAATCTACATTGTTTAATTGTGCTGGAAAGGAAGGTCAATATATATATATATATATATATATATATATATATATATATATATATATATATATATATATATATATAATCCCTGTCAAAAAACCCTAATTGTCACTTTTTTTTGCTTATAATATTGTAAACTTAAGAATGGAGATCGTTCATGTTTTAAGTGTAACACTTGTAACTATTTCAGATCACTAGAAAAAGCATGGATGGAAGTGAAGTCGGAAACCTTAAAAATAGCACAGATTCACGAGAATGCCGGAGTAGACTTCGACAAACTGGCCCAAGAAATGTCCTCATTTACGGAGGAACAAAAGCGACAAGTGAAAGCCGTAAGTTATAGAATAATTAAACTCAATAATGCAAGTGTCCTCTCATATCGCTTTTAATTAATATTTTTATATTTTTAGACAGAAGACACTGTTCAGAAACTACATAACAATCTTAAGTCAACATACAGCAAACTTACAAGTGTAGGTATAGTCAGTATTAACATTCATTGGAATCCAATTTGAATTAAGAGTATAAAGTGGGGATGGCAATTTGTAACCGGTTAACCGATTACTCGGTCTGAACGTTGATAATCGGTTACAAAATCTGTAATCGGTCAGTCGGAAAAAGTTTTTTAAAATGTGTAATTACTATATTTGATTTCATAAAATTTTATTTCAAATTCTTTGAAAAGAAGAAAAACCAAACTGATTCGTAATAAGTTAGGGATTCGAACTATCTAAGTAAGTTAATTTGGAGATAATTAATTAGGTTCCCCTAGTTGATACATGTACCATTTCGGTAATTGATCAGTCTGCGAAGTGTTATTTACTTCGTGTAAGTGTCCAACCTATCCTTAATTTATGGAAAATAATGAAATCACTGTTGAGTACTGCAAACATAGTGAACCTGCTTCAATTACTTATCTTACCCCGTATACTGATTTTCAAGTTTCTTTATTCCCTTAGCCAACTGGCTCATCAGAAGTATACTCTGTATATATTGTCAAGTAAGATTTTCAACTAAAAAATGTAAAATTAATTAATGGTTCTAATCAAAGCAACAGCAAAGATATGCGACATATGACTTGAGAACTTGTTCATGTCTTTGATATATAAGGCATGTTTCGTGTTTCTTTAAAAATTTCTTTAAAATTTAAATAAAATTCATTATGCGTTTTGGTTAAAAATAAATAGAATATCACGGATGTCTTTCTTAGTTATTTGTATATAAATATAAAAGCCTTACTCGAGAAAAACCCAACATGTATTTATTAAGAATATCAATGCCATGTTTATTTTGATACGATTAACCGGTTAATCGGTCGGAACGGTTATGATTGCGGTTAACCGATTGGCAAATCTGTAATCGATACCATCCCTAGTATACAGTATTCATCAATCAATATTTGAGTATGCATTATAACCAAGTTATCATTAATGCATCTGTGGTCAAATGTCAGTTTTATGTTGAATAAAATTAAAGATTAAACAATTTCATGAGAATTTCATATTATAAAGTAATATTCCTACTAAATATATTTCAGCTAAAGACTGTTTTGACAGCAGCAAGTGATAACCAAATATTAAAACAAATGTATGATAAAACATACTCTTTTGGTAGTATTTAATATAAACAAAATAAAATCTTAGGGGATTTTTCTACAGGCTGTATTGATTCACGTGTTTGAACAGCAGCAAGTATAACAACTAAAATATTTTAAATTTTTGCTCTTTGTTCCTCAATCAAACGTTTTCTACTTTCACATTCAAAATTCATGTACATTTATATCTTGTCGCTTATATTTTTTGCACATACATGTTGTATTAAACAAATAAGATATTAATAATTGAATGGTATACTTATTTGACTGTCTTCTTTTACTTTATATTATATTTATAGGAATCTATGCGACTCATATCATTATTTTTGGGTAAAGACTTGCTTAAAAGTAATCAAAAATATGATCGTAATCTAATTTTTCAAGACCGAAAATATTTTGTTTAGCAGAAAAGCATTTTAAACTTATAATCACAGTTTAACGAAATGCAATACTTTTCTCTTTTTATGTAGCAAGAGAAAACTTTCCATTTAAAAGGTGAAGATTATGATAAAGTACAAAATTCACTCAAATTTACTGAGAACAACAACAGAGGACAACCAACCACAAAAGAACTGGAAAAGGTTAGCTAATCCACGATATATAAACCAGTTCAATAAAACTAGGAAGTTGACTCTAACGTTTGATAAATGAAACATACTTGCAAGACTTGTTCATTTTTCCTTTTGTTGAGGAAGGAAACAAGATAACTTGTTTACATATGAACTTGTACTGATAAACATTCCTAGAAAATCGTTTGAAAAACTGCTATTAAAATCCCATTTTGTACTTTCTTATTCACAGCTTCGAAATAAAGAATTAAAAGCTAAAGATGAACTAGACAAGAATGGTAGGGAAATAACCGAAATCCTTCAAAGAGTCAAACTCTGTTGCCATAATATATTACAGTAAAATTTTACTAGACCCTATGAACCAATAACATTTACCTATTTTAAAGTATCACTCTTATTGCAATGCATTAGATAATTCCTTTTCTCCTTTAGAATCGTCATACAAAAGTCTTTTAGAAGAGGTAACCAAATGTAAAGCCGCATTTGAGAAAGAAATGACAAAAATGTGTGAGGTAGGTAGTAAAACCAATCAAATTCAATGTACTTAAACACTCTAATGAACACGTAATCCTTGTAAACTGATTTAATTTTTCAGATTTTCCAAGAGCTAGATGAAAAACGAATCGAACACACCAGAGAGAATTTGTGGAAGTGCACGAATGTTGATTCTCGTATCTGTGTAGATCATGACGAGGTTCGCTATACTGGAATTTCTTAATTTATGTTAACGGTTCAGTTTGCTATATCTACAGTTTAATGTACCATTAAATACCATTAAATTTTCATATTTCCCTAATGACAAACCCCTGTTTTAAGTATTATTGAACCATCGCAAGTGATGAACAGTGGAATAAACGAGAGATATATAAAGATACATTTTTTTTCAATACATGTACTAAAAATAAAATTTACCAGGCTTATGTTGTATATTTCAGTGTGCTGAGAAAATGCGGCTTATTATAGAACCATGTGATATTGACAAAGATATACAAATGTTTATCAAGAACTGCAGGACAGGCTCAGAAAAGCCACGTACGTATGATATAGGAACATTATAGAGTACCTTCCGTAAAATCACAAACAAAATAAATTCTTTATCATTATAAGATGGCATTGGTGTCCGAAGTCGCAATAAAAAAATGTTTCAGAAAAGGGGATTTTTATTATCAAAATTTGTATATTTATCTGACACTTCTCTGAATCCTCCTTTGACCTATAGTATACAACCACCTTTGTCCATTGTTTTTCTCTGGACGTTTTAGCAATGCTGCTATTGCCTTCCTTTCTTTTTAAATGTATCTACAGCTTGCAGTAACAGGAGGAAATTGAGCACTATAACTTTCCTATCGCTGTACTTCTGCAATGGAATGAAAAAACTTCAGGTCTACTGTGCTACAATATATTCAAAAAGTTGTATAAATCAAATGTAGATTCTCAAAATCTTCAAAGAACTTTTCGAAAAGTTAAATCCCTAAACTTTTTCAAAATCAATAGAACAAAATATGTTTTTTTTTCAAAGCTTTATACAACCATTCCTTACGATAAATTTAAGACCAAGTTTTTGACATAATAGAAAATATTTCCTCAATAAAAATAGAACTCGTAAATTTTTCATATCCTGTGATTGGACATCTACAAAATTACTTTGTTAAAAATCACACAAGTACTCTGAAGTTGATAAAAAAAAAGATGCCAGGGTTCATCATTGACAATATCTGTGTTGTCTTTGGAGACCAGATCTTCCAACAGTCTGTTGAAATTTCGATTGGCAACAATTTTACTCCTTTATTAGCTGACCTGTTTTTATATTCCTTTGAGGCAAAATTTATTCCAAGAACTTCTACATGAGATGAAGCAAAACTCTTGTTGTGGTCCTCAACTCGACATTTAAATATATCGACGTGAAACCGGAGGGGAGACTGTATGTTCCACCCTTGTCCGTCTGTCCTTCTGGCAGTCTGTCTCGCTTGGTTTTCTGCACTTTCTTTCTAAAGGCTTGCAGATATTGAGCTGATTTTGTTGGTTTTAAGATCTTCCTTGATGCGTTACAGATGAAGGTTTGCATTATGTTCTACTTATGAATCGATGATTTTTGACGGAATTACGGCCTTTTAAATGTTTAAAGGGGCCCAGATTACACTTGCCGGTAGGGTTCTAGTATTACTTAAGCAATACTCAGAATGCTTGTTCCACTATCAGATGCATTTGCTGTTTAAGTCTCCCAACTGATTAGATTCAAAAGAGCAGACACTGAGTTGGATCAATTTTTAAACCGAAACAGACTACTGACAAATAAGTTGATGTTACAGGGATTTCAACCGCCTCGTTTATAGTCATCTTTTTGCAAATTATGTGATCGTTAAAATAACCTTGTTTGCAAATACAGCCTATCATTGGGCCGTAATTTGTCTGACTTTTTTTCATACCAGTTAGGTCATTGTTTTTATACTAAATTTGACTACGGATTACTCCGTCTATCTGATCAATGCACAGCGGGTATGACCGGTCGACAGGAGACGCTTACTTCTCCTAGGCACCTGATCCCACCTCTGGTGCTACCAAGGGACCGTGTTTTCCCCTGTTCACGATTCGTATTCTTTACTGTATGAGATTGATCACTGTTCGTTATCTTCACGTTTTACATCACGTCTGTATGTGGTGCATCTCAGTTCTAACTTTATCTGGGCTACACTTTCTGTAGAGAAAACTGTCTTAAGAAAAAGGTGCACCCCTCTCTTCTGCGATTTTTTATAGCAAAATCTGATGAAAATGGTCCCTTTTTGAGTTAAAAAAAAAAACTCGTCTTATACATCAACCTATATCATTATCTGTTACTAGTATACGCTCATTCTGATATGCAGAGAGGCTGTTGAAATCTAGCCTCGCCGACTATGAGATTGTGTTATATTCCCAGACTTTTATGTTGATATCAAGGGATAAACAATTCCTTAAATGTAAGTCAGTTAAGTATTTTGAAATGAGATATGGCGACATATAAAATCTCCATTGGTGCAATCATAACAGAGAATTGGTATACCTCCCTTAGACAAGATTTCCACTGATATTAAAATGAAATTTGGTGTATAAAAGTGCCTTGAAATTTATAAATTCTTTAGCGATTGTGCCATCATTTTATCACCTGTTATTTATTCGTCTAGTTTTCAATATTTTTATGCATCAAATAAGAAATAGTTTGTTCATTTGTAGCTGATGTAACGTTTAAATCCGGCCGTGGTCAACCTCTAAAAATTCAATTCGACAGTGGTGACCATTTATATTCAGAGGTCAAGCTGACGTAACACGTGAGTGTGTTAAAATTATTATTGTACACAGCACCAAGCACATAGAAACAAATGAAAACGTGTATTAAATTAAACAATAAATGCTTTCTTTGGTTGTTAGTAGGGTAATTAATGTTGCAGCTGTTGCAGAAAAAACGCATAACCCACGTAAGCGGTTATGTAATTTTTTCTGCAATAGCTGCAACGTCATTCCTGTACTAACAAACAAAGAAAAACATTTTATTGTTTATATTTATATCTGTGCAAATAATCATTTAAAGTAGGATTTAGTAGATGAAATAGTTTATTATTGATATGAACGTCATTGTACGTTTCGTTGATGGAACAGCCACTGCTCAAGAAATCTGTAGAGGTGATATGCTTAGTGCTGTTTACTGACTGATAAACGACAATGATTTTCTTGAGAAATAAAAGAGATAATATTCAGTGGATGTAAATATTCACTCCTCATAACAACATGAGACAAATAAATTTTGACACATTTTTAATAAAATTATTTTTATTAAATGTGAATATATTCTCAGTGGTCATTCACCTGTAGAACTAATTTTTTATGGTTGGGGATATATTAATTATCTGATAAACTTTCAATTTGATATGCAGAGATCTTTCAAGCCCATCCATATTTTGACAGATTTGAACGTCTTCTTGAAGACGACATCAACTCTACAGCCATGCAGCTACAGTTTATTTCCAGTTGACTGTTATTTCTTGTTAAACATTACTAGTATTGAAAGTTAAGTTTTTTTTTTACAATCAAAGAATGTTTTAATATACCGTTATACGTACAATTAACTTTGATGTCTTGCACCTTGATTGCCTGTCCATTCAATCGCCACTTCTATATGTACAGAAATCCGAAGTCATCTTACAAGACTCAAACATACATGATATCACTTTTTACAATACTAGGATCTGTATGTCGAATACTAATGCATTAAGTATTATGTTAGACAATAAATCATATATGTGCCATGTTATATTTTCATGTGGTTGTTTCTTAAATAAACGTTAATTGCCAATTCTGTTTTCTGCATTCTCATTTATATTTAAATTTAGGATTTTTGAAATTTCTATGACAGGAAAATGGATATCAGTTTAGGAAAAACTAACAATATGTATCAAAAGTATCCAGCTGTTTTATCAACTTTATGAAATGCGTTTATATAATTATCAGGTTTTATTCTCTCGGGTCGATCTCAGCACCCACTAAAGGGATTTCCTGACACTAATAATAAATCTTTCCGGTATTTATCATTCGATGTTCCCTTGTATCTATTGAGGAAATCAATCAAAAATATCCAACAGGTATTTAATTATTTGATTACCATTTACTCTCCATAGAGTTAGTGTAACTAAATCTATGCAAACCATTATTCAAATAAAATTAATAACATAGTCAGGATATTACTAGTATCTTCTTCGAAACATTTCGGTTTTAGAATTTTGGTTTAAACAAATTACATTTGAAGTTGCATAGAGGAATGGTTGCGCAATAAATTTACAGTTGGTACCAAGCGGGAAGTAAAGAAAAAAACCTTTCCTCTGATATAAATTCGTTATCCCTATTGTGGTTCCCAGAGCTACGTACAGCTTGAATGGAGTCCGCAGCTATGTTAAGGCTTCCCGAAGCTTTAAAATGCGCTCAAAACATACTATGTCATTGCGAGGTCGTTTTTGGTTTTAATTTATAAGTATTGAACTTAAGTACTTCCAATTTATATAGAGGGTTTCCTCGGCTATATATTAACATATTTGTTATGATATCACATGACTTTGCAGATCACGTGACGGTCATTTATAATTTTTTGAAGTGTTTCATATAAATCGCTTCGGCGCAGCTGATTACCACAATAATTATTAACATTTTGTTATGTAAGTAAACTCATCGTATCCTTGTGTATCCGAAATGTGCTTGGGAAAAGTCATAGTATTACTTAGATACAAAATATTTCCGGAGAAATTTAACTTACCTACAAATTTGAGGGTATTTTCCACACAATATCGTAATTTGTATTAAAACAAAACCAACATACATTTTTCCCAAGCAAGATTCAGTTAGAGAACACCCTCTTCTTAAAGATTTCCACAAAAATTCTCAGATTAATCCTCATTATCACCTGCGCCAGACTCTTTTATACACGCAAAATAAATTCTACCTTCAATCACGGGTATAAAACAGAGTACATTTCAAAAGTATATTTTTCATAAGCATTTTATACATGCTGAATTTCAATCAAGGGTAGGTAAGCGGTGTATTTTTAAAATATTCGGACATATACGACTTAAAAAACCTTTACCGACCCGTGAATTATGCAATAGCTATCTAGCATTTTACATGCAGTTTGAAATAAAGTGTAAAGTTCATGACACTCTCCCCGTCATAACACCTCAAGTTTGCAGTGACTTGACGTCATTTTCCATTATGACGTCATATTTTGGTAGTTCAGAGACGTGAAGGCACAGAGTGCACTGTGATATTCTACGGGAAGCCTTAACCTACCTGCGTCACCATATGGATGTTTGTATATTAATATCACAATCTGCATCCTTGTATTCTTTCCAAACCTTTTATTTACACTTTTCCTTTTGAAGCTCTATTTTAGACTTTGGATATTGTTGATAAAATTGAATAAAAACCTTCAAATTCTTTTTATTAATATACCTCACTTTCTAATGATTGATTGATAGATTGATTGACTGTATATTGTTTTACGTCCCGTTCGAGAATTTTTCACTCATATAGAGACGTCACCATATACCGGTGAAGGGCTTCAAATTTAGACCTTTACTCGGCACTCAAGGCCATTGAGAAGTGAGAGTTCTTTATCGTGCCATTATCTACCGTGACATGGGGTCTCAGTGTTTAAGGTTTCATCCGAAAGACCCGCAACTTTCACTTTAAAGTGCCGAGCGCTTGACGAAGGAACAGTTGCTACCTATTTTTTATCGACTTAGGTCAGTCGCGGCCGTGCTTCGAACACACGACCTTCCGATCACGGAGCGCACTTTCTAAAGAAGGTTCGGGTAATTGTTGTTATCTCGTCAATCTGCTTCCTTAACTTTCTCTTATATTTAAAACAAGAGGCCAATGGGCTTCAACGCTCAGTAGTCACATTGACCTATTGTTCTTCAAAAAATGGTTTTAATCAATTTGTTTTCTCTCACATTGAACAAAAGCGAATCTGCGGTAGCTGAGGATGCCTGTAGACTAATCGTGACCCTGCTGTTCTAAGGAGATTTTCTGAAATTTCCTTAGACTATATTCCCGTGTAAAACTTTGTTCCCTTATTGTGGCCCCACCCTACACCCTGGGGCCGTAATTTGAACAAACTCTAATCTGCATTAATGGAGGATGTTTATCTACTTACATGATTTATTTGATGCTGTCATAAGACAGTAATACCCGCGCGTAAATGAAGAAAAAATGGAACTTCACATCATTTTTCGACCCCTATTTGGCCCCAAGAGTGAAAATGAAAATTCAGAAACCTTATTGCTACAGACTACTAGTATCTCCAATCCACATGAGATGAACTGGCTACTGCGTAAAATGTAAGTGGAGTTTTGGGATCAAAGTTTTTGTTAAATGAAAAACATCATCTTTCGACTCCCAGGGTGAAAATGAATATTCCTAAACCTTATTGCACATATACAGAACACCCCGAATCTTCTTGCAAAAGATGAGGTGGCTACTGTGTAAAATGTAAGAGCTATGAGTTCTTGGAACAAGGTTTTTGTTTCTAAAAAAAGTCGTTACTCTCTTTGGGTGAAATGGAAAAATCCGAAAACATCATTCTGTAAGACACCTCAATCATCTTGCAAAAGATGAAATGGCTACTGCATAAAATGTAAGAGGATTTTGTGGGAACCAGATTATTGTAAAATGAAAATGTTAATCCCCCACCCATTTGCCCCTCGGGGTAAAAATAAAAACTCTGAAACCTTATTGCACATCTACAGGACACCGACTATCATACATTGCATTCCAAGAGATGAAATGGCTACAGTAACTGCTTAAATTTTAAGTGGAGTTTGAGGGAGAAGAAAATGTGACAGACGGACAGACAGACGAGGATAACAATACACCCAACTCTCTTTTAGAAAGTGCGGATTTAATCATTGCCTATATGTATCTGTTCATGAGATGAATTTTTAAACAGATTTTTCACCATATATATTCCCATGTAAAACTTTGATCCCCCGCTGTGTTCCCACCCTACCCCAGGAGCCATAAATTGAACACACCTAAATCTGCGCTACCTGAGATTGCTTGCCTATTAATGCCCTGATGTTCTTAAGAAAAACATTTTCCCTGTAAAACTTTCATCCCGAATGTGGTCCCATCCTATAATCGGGGGTCATGATTTGATCAAATCCATATCTACATTATGTCAGGAAACTTTCTCATAAGTTTCATCTTTTCCAGTAGCTTTTGAGGAGATTTTAAATAGCTTCGTCTTAACGTTCCCTTTTCTTTATTGAGGGTGCTGTCCTTAAATATTTCTTTAATTTCCTTCACTCAAGGATACTCTCTGCCAAGTTTGGTTGAAATTTTTCCAGTGGTTCTGGAGAAGAAGATGAATTATGAAGAGATTACGACAACAACGACAGACACCAGAACAATCAGAAAAGCTCACTTGAGCCTTCGTCTCAGGTGAGCTAAAAAAGGTAGCCAATTTATCTTTTGAAAGATGATTGGTGAGTGTCCTGTCGATGTCCATTAACATATCAGAGTTTCATTTTTATCCTGGAGGCCAATTCAGGTTGGAAAAACGATTTTTTTTTCTACAAAAATTTGGTTTCCAGAACTCCTGTGACATTTTACGCAGTATAGCCAAATCATCTTTTGGAATATGATTAGTCACTGTGGTGTCTGGTCGAAATCCAATAAGTTTTAAGAATTTTTATATTGATCTTAGAGCCAATTGGGAGTCATAATTTAATGACGATTGTCAACAAAAACCTTGATTCCCTGAATTTCTATTTCATTTTCATTTGTTCAGTATAGCTATATCATACTGTACGTGTACATAAATTGGTTGTATTCAAAATTTAGCGCGGGTATTGAGTGATTGGCATAATTAGTCCCCTACCGGTGAAACCGGAGGGGACTATAGGTTTCCTCTGAGTCTGTCCGTCCGTCCGTCTGTCCGTCCGTCCGTCTGTCTGTCTGTCTGTCTGTCCGTCTGTCTGTCTGTCTGTCCCTCTGTCTGTCTGTCCCTCTGTCTGTCTGTCAGTCTGTCCCACTTGGTTTTCCGCACTTTTTTCAGATATTGAGCTGATTTTTGGTATGTGAGTGTATTTTGATGAGTTACAGATCAAGTTTGAATTTCGTTCCGCTTCATTGATTTTTGACGGAATTACGGCCTTTTCAATTTTTACGGGTTTTCCGCAATTTTCTTCTAAACGCTTGTAGATATTGAGCTGATTTTTGGTATGTGGCTTTACCTTGATTAGTTATAGATCAAGTTCGCATTTCGTCCCGCTTCATTAATTTTTGACAGAATTATGGCATTTTCAATTCTTAACGGGAACCAGATTACATGCACTTGCCGGTAGGGGACTAGTATTGCTAATGCAATACTCTCAGAATGCTTGTTATAAATTAGTGCTACATACGTCTAGCTGCACCTTTTATTGCATTTATTATATTGGTCTAGTACTAGTATATTGGAGTATGATTCATACAAGTTATTCCTATAAGTTAGATGTGCAGTAAAATTTCGAAGTTCCTCCTATATGGGCCAATTATTTGAGGACTGTAAACGATGTTTATAATATACATGTAATTTGTTTTGTTCCGTAGATGTGCGATAAGGTTTTTCTTAATACAAGAGCCCAACTGAGGGGTGAAAACGACGTTTTTCTATTTTTTCTACAAATCTCTGGTTCCAGAACTTCTGTCACACAAAGCTCTAACCAAATCGGCTTTTGGAATACGATTGCTTTTCTCCTGTAGTTTTGCAATAAGGTTTCCAGTTTCATCAATTGATGGCCTTAGACTTTTTTTTATTACAGCCAAA